TATATGTGCCACAGTTTTTCAATCCATTCCTCCATACGGGGGCATTTGGGTTGGTTCCATAACTTAGCTAATGTTTCTATTAATTTTAATAGAAAAAATGATAATTATTCCTCACATAAAACATGTGACAGAGAATCCAGACATAAAATTTTTAAACTTATATATAACTTTAGGGGACTATCCAGTAAGTTAATGTATTTATCTGAAGACTAAAATGTTGCCTATTTTGATAACTGACAATGTCACTTCAGAGTTCTCAGAAATTAATAAGATAAATATTCTTTGGAAAAATGGGCAAATAATAAATAGTTCAAAAATAAGTAAAAATAACTAATAAACCTAAAAACATTAATCTTGTTGAAAACCAGATAAATGCAAATTAAAATGAGGAAGCCAGCTAAGGGATAAAAAGATGGTCCTTGCTTAGGAAAGAGCTAGCAAAGGGCTGGAATGGGAGGTGTCTGAGATGAAAAGATGCTAGTGACTGCTGTGAAAGGCACTCCACCTCTCCAAAGGGAGAAGCAAACATGTGGATGCGATACCCAGGAATCCAAAGGGAAGTGGATGCCAGCTTCCTCCTAGGACCAGCACCTCATTGGGGGGGCCAATAATGGCCTTTTTGCCTGTCATGGGCATCTTTCCTGTGGTTCTCCACTCTCAGGATGACCACTAAATCCTCCCTATTGGGGGACCAGCAGTTGGCGTAATGGCTATGTCACTGGACTCCCATGTAGTCAACAGTGGTTCAAGTCCCGGACCTGGTGGCTTAAACTCATGCCAGGCGCGTGTGCGTGTGTGCCCAAGATCCCGAAAGGAGAATGGAGCAAAAGGGATTGCGGCATGGCCATACCCCTGGGGGGTGATTTCTCACTTTCTATCTCTCTGTCTCTGCGAGCGCACGCACCCTATAGCAAAAAACCTCCCAAGAAAAAAAAAAAAAGAAATCCTCCCTATTGGACCAAACATGTCAGCATATCACATTCATACCTCATCTTTAAAAACAAACAAAAATTAAACCATTCTGGCTCTCTTGCTTTCCATTCTCTTAGTCCCTTTACAACAAAACCCCATGACAGAGCAGCCTCTCTGCTGTCTCCAGTGTTCCTTCCCAGAATCTCAGCTACATTCAAAAAAAAGGCTCCTGCCTGACTATGCATTGCAGCTGCTCTCATTGAAGTTCAAATGATCTATCTTGTGCTCAGAACACAGTCCTACTATCACGTGAACACGTAGCAATGTGGCAAATTGACCATGTTCTTTCTTTCCTAGATTCCAGGATGCCATGCCTCCTGGTATTCTCTCACTCAAAGTAGCTCCTTCTAAGCCTCCTTTGCTGATTCTTAATTTCACACTCAAACATTGAATTCCTTTTCTTCTACCCTTCCCTCACTCCCCAATTATTCTTCAGAAACATTTTATAAAAACTGGCCAGTGAGTAAAATGGCTAAAGGTGCTTCTAGTATTAGAAATAATAAAGCTTATGACTAAGCTAGTAGGCCAGTGCCATGGCTAATGGTTAAGGGAGCTAGATCCCACATGGCCCACCTTGTAGTTTGAATCCTGGCCCAAGTGGATTGAAAAACATACAAGGCACATATCTATGTGTGTCCCCAAATTCCAACATAGTAGAGAAATGGAGAAAAATAAATTTAGTGAGGCCATGCCTCATTGAAGAGGTGGGGGTGATTTCTCCATCCGCTCTCTCTCTCTGACAAGTGCACTCATGGAGCAGGAGCAGACTAAGGTGGTGGTCTGAAGGACAAAGATATCTTCTCTAATATAGAAGTAAAAAGATAACAAAATGGGAGAAAGTGAGAAAAGAGGGAGAGAGCACAAAAAGGCACCTGTGCACAGAAAGTATGCAGGAGAGTTAAGACAGAAAACAAAGGACATAGATTGAACATCCCTAGTGTCTTCCCCAGTCTCATGAGGCTTTTTGTCAAACTGTGCTACAGTAAGCAACTCTCTCCCTGGGAAGGACTTTGAATTAAGGTCTAGAAGCTAGACCTTGAGACTGTGTAGAGATGTTCACCAGGTAGAACTTCCCACCACTTCTGGACGCAACTGGTTCAACTATACTGGTGGGCTGTGCTATTAACTCAGTACCTATGATTAAATAACCACTAGCAGGCACACAGAACTAACATCACTAGTTACTGTGAAAGTCTGGGTGCTTTTTCCTAATATCAAGAACAAGTAAGTAAAAATATTCTCACCCTTATTTATCCATCATTGTCCTAGATGTGCTAGCCAGAACAATAAGAGAAATAGTCATGTGTCTTCTCCTTCTGGAACTTAAGTGACAATTAGATTTCTTGACAGTGTCCCATAAATCTCATGAACTTTCTACATTCTTTGATGTTTGAAGTTTCAGTCAATGATAAATTATGCATGATAGTAGTTCCCTAAGACTAATTTTCTAAGGTGTGTGTGTGTGTGTGTGTGTGTGCGTGTGTGCATGCCCAAAATCCTGAGAATGGAGGCACGGGGATTATGGCATGGCTATCCTCCTGGGGGGTGATTTCTCACTTTCTCTTTCCTTCTCTCTCTAGTGAGTGCACACTTCCTATAGCAAAAAGAAAGTGTGGTAGTTAAGGTGCTGGATTCCCACATGACTACATATGGTTTGAATCCTGAGGCTTACTTTTTCACTTTCCCTCTCTCTCTGGTCAAACTGAAAAATAGTAAGAATAAAATAAATGAAATGATTCTTTAACAAAAAGAAAAAGAAAATAAGCTCATGCCAGGTGTGTGTGTGCATGCCCAAAATCCCGAGAGGAGAATGGAGAAGGGATTGCTGCATGGCCATTCCTCTTCAGGGATGATTTCTCACTTTCTCTGTTTCTCTCAGTCTCTCCAGCAAGTACACACACACTATAGCAAAAATCTCTCTGAAAAACAAAACAACAACAAAAAATAACTTTAAAAGTTTATAAAGTAAAAAGGTATAGTAAGGGGACAGCAGGTGGCATGGTGGTTGGGGCACTAGACTCCCACATGGCCAACTGTGGGAGTCAAGTCCTGGACCTAGCTGCTTACTTTCTCATTCTCTCTCTCTCCCTCTCTCCAGTGAGCATGCATACCCTGTAGCAAATAAAGAAATAATGAAAAATAAAATTATTATTTTAAAAGTTACAGTAAGTAATAGTTAAGGTTATTAAAGAAAGAAAACTATCTTTTGTGGGCCTGGCAGGTGGCATGGTGTTAAACCATAGTCACATGGCTGACTGTGGTTTCAGTCCAGGACTTGGCAGCTCGCTTTCTCACTTTCCCTTTCTCTCTGTTTCTGGTCAAATTAAAAATGATGATAATAACAAAATAAATATTTTTTAAAAACTGTATTTTGGGGACCAGCAGTTGGCACAATGGCTATGTTGCCGGACTCCTATGTAGTCGACTGCGGTTCAAGTCCTGGACCTGGTGGCTTAAATTCATGCTGGGCATGTGTGCGTGTGCGCCCAAGATCCCGAAAGGAGAGTGGAGGAGAAGGGATTGCAGTGTGGCCATCGCCCCTAGAGGGTAAGTTCTCACTTTCTGTCTCTCTGTCTCTCTCTATCTTTCTGGCAAGTGCACGCACCCTATAGCAAAAAACTCTCAAAAACAAAAACAAAACAATTATCTTTTGTATATCTGGTGTAGCCCAAGTGTACAGTATAAACTTCACAGTAGGGTTCAGTAATGTCCTAGGCCTTCATATTCACTCACCACTTACTTACTGAATCACTCAGAGCAACTTTCAGTCTAACAAACTCCATTTATGATGCCTTATATAGGCATACTATTTTTATCTTTTAGATCACATTTTTACTATCCCTTTTCTACATTCAGATATGTTCAGGTATACAAACACCGTTCCATTACAACTGCCTACAGTATTCAGTACAGGAACAAGCTGTACAGGTTCGCAACCTAAGGGCAATATGCTATACAACATATCCTAGGTGTATAATAAGCTATGTATCTAGATCTGTGTAAATACACTCTTGATGTTCACACAACAAAACTGCCCAATGACACATTCCTCAGACTGTATCCCTGTTGTTAATCAATGAATGAGTATAGCTGAAAGGCATCCAGGTTGGAAAGAAAGAAGTACAGTTATTTTTATTTGCATATGACATCACCTTGTAATTTAGAAAATCTTAAAGAATTCACTAAAGAACTGTTAAACCATTAAAGCAAATGAATGAGTCCAGCAAATTAAATCCTTCTCAGGGAGATGAAAGTTTTATTGAATGACTCCTTACAAGAGTCCAGCACAGTGTATTTTGAGAAATGTTAGGTGTGCCTTGGTTACTATCAGTAATGACTCCAAATCTAGATACAAGAACAATAATGATAAATTTGGAATATATATTTGCCTGCACACAATGCTTCTGCCAAAACTACCATCTGTGGATTTACAGAATACATTATCTACTGTCATGGTGACAAGATATAAACTTGGACGGGACCCACTATTAATTATTTTGACACCTCAGGCAGGGGTCAGTGACTCCCACCACTGGCCTTAACTGGGTCAAATAATTTCAGCAAATTTAAAAGACATCTCATATGCACACAATTTTAAGTCCTAGTTCATTGACCCCTTGCACACTGAGAATTTTTAACATACTAAGAAGTTTCTGTCAACAAATGTCTTAGTTACATATTTTATGTCCATGACTCACAAACTATAAGCAACTCAAAGGTTGAACAATAGCACAGGACTGACTTTCGAGCCCAGATCATTGCTCTACTTTTTCTTTTTTTTTTATTAAATTTCTGGGACTCTGTGTAGTCAGTGTCTACATAAAGGAGCTGAAACTATTACTGGGTGGTTCCAGACCCCCTTAGCCCATTGTGAGAGGGTCTCAGGCCTGTATCCCTCTACCTAGAAATGTAGAACAACCTGTCATGTCCCAGAGATAAACAGTCCAGAGACCAGAGATTGAAGAAGAAACATTTATTAAACACCTGTAGGAGGAATGATCAGACTAAAAGGTGGAGTCAGGTCAGAGTTTCATTCAGTCTAGGCCCAACTCTCACCCCTCCCCCAGTACAGAGTCAGCTGAGGAAGATTATACCAAAATAGTCAACTTTATTTTCCATAACCCCTTGGGTAAGTTTCAGGCAGTATGTATCCTCCTGGCTTAGGCAGGCATGAGGCCCTGTACCGTAGATGGCTCCTGGTCTTTTTCCTCATGGACTCCTAGAGGTTTAGGACTAGCCTGTGGAAGGTCAGGGTGCTGCATGGAGTTCTCCACCCATTCCTGCATCCACACCATCCCCTCCCATCCCTTCCTACCCTACCCCCACCATTCCTTTGCCTTGACTGCACTCCCTGCA